TGGAAAATAGAAAATTATAATTATAAAAACTAAAATGAATAATTTAAGATTTAATTTTCCCAAAAATTTAATAAAAACTGAAAATTAAATATAATTTATTGTATCTACCTTAAATGATTTATTTGTTTTATTTTACAATTATGTGTAAAATAAAAACATTATATGTTAAAAATGAAAACATATTTATTATTTAAAAAATGGTTGTTATTTAAATAAAATACTAAATTAATAAATATTTCCAAAAATTAATAAAAATTGAAAATTATAATTATAAAATTGAAAGAGTGATAATTATTGTACAATGTTTGAATGTTCTAGAGTCCCGTTATTGTTTATTGTAATATTTCTCTTCATATAACCTATTGAAGTATGAATTTCTCATGTGTTTATATCTTATTCATAGATAATTCAGCTTTTGGTTTAGTATGATGAATGTATTTATGTGATTTGTATGTATTTCACTAGCGTATCCAAGCGTTTCTATATTTTTCGTTAGTATCCATACGTTTCCAAAACGTATCCGTATCCGTATCCGAGTTATCCGATACAATACTCGATACTGATACTTTGATCCTTGAGTAGATGTTAAGAACAACCTATCAAAATTTGATGTTTTTCTCAACTAGACAAGTAATAAAAATAAATGCATGAACCATATATTATGAAACAAAGTGAAATAGGTGGACTTTTAAGAAAAGATTGAAGGAAGTAGAAGTAGATGCTTCCAATAGTTCATGCATAATGCAGGTTGGCCCTAATTATACTGTATTATATAATTAATATTTATAGTATATACACAAATGTATTTATATATGTATAATAAAAATTTGTGTATATTTTCTGTAATTTTGTATATGAACTTAGATTTAAATTTTAAGTCCTTAACAATATAGTTTTATTACTTTATGTGGGCAAGCCCAAATGCCTGGGCCTGGACCAAGGCACCAAGGCGAAGCTAGGGGATGGGGGGTGCCTTGTTGCCTTGTCGCCTAGGCAATGGAACATTTTTACATAGAAACCATGAATCCTAGGATATTTCCCTAGGTTCCATAGCAACTAGCAACCGTCTTCCATGATAATTATCTATAAACTTCATAAAAAAGTATAAGCTTCATATAAAAGCATAAAAACTCAACATATTTATTAGAAAAAAAGAAGAAAAGAAAATTCAGAAAATATAGGGACCGAGCCCATTTTTGTCTAGGAAAATAAGATGATGATGATGAATGTGCTGGTTGGACAGAATTTTAAGTTCTTCCTTGCTTATTGGTTCAGTCTTTGAAGTCTTTGAAGGTTTAAGACTGCATCCACCAACATGTGTGTTGATTGAACCTTAACGAATAAGAAGATAAGAAAAATAAATTACTATATAAACCCAGAAAATGAATATTTTAGTTAAATAATATCTATTTAATTATTATAATATAAAAGAATAAAGAATATAAAAGGATTTTATGGTAGCATGTACACAATAGGTAGGCAATTAAGTGAGCAACCATCTATGGGCGCCTAGGCATCATCTTGACAACTATATATATATATATAAGCCGCAACTTGGTGGTGACAACACAGGACAAGCAGAAGAATGAGCAGAGCAGAAATAGCCAACTCCATCCAGCTGTTCAGCAACATATACGCAGAAACCTCATCAAACAGGTCCAAAGATTTTAACCAGTGCACCACCCTAATTGTTATTACTTCAATAAAACTTCTTTATTTCTTTTGTTTTCAGAAAAAGTTCTGGAGTTCCTTTCCTCTCATAGAGTCCAGCAAATAGCAGCCCTCACACACCTCCACATAATCCTTTCCCTTTTCTTTGGCCACCTAAGGAACAAAGAGCTAAACAAGCTTTGAATATTTGGCGGTAGGGTCCACCTACAACTAAATAGAGAAAGAAACCAGTCCCAAATAACAACAGCAAAGGGGCAAGAAATTAATAAGTGGTAAGAGCTTTCACCATTAGCCTTGCAAAGAATGCACCAATTTTGAGACAAGCACCAAAAAGGCATTTTTCTTTGGAATAAGTCACAGGTATTACATTTCTCCAAGAAGGTTTCCCTACAAAAAGCTCCAATCGTTGGAGGAATCGGCTCACCCCAAACTTCCTTTACTGGGCAGCCCTTTTTTTAACCATCCAGTAAAAGCTTGACATGGGCCAACCCAGCCCATGATCATTCCTTCAGGATCATTTAGGAGTTTTCGGAACACAAAATAGTTTGGATCATCAAGGAACAAAGAAACTGGTTATCCAGAAAAGAAAGGAATTTCTTAATTGTAAAATATTAGAAAACAGAGAGGAAAGACAACTGAATAGCCTTTCTAACTGATTCTGTAATATGGCTCTTATTGAGGTTATAGAAGCCTGTTAGTCTCATCAACTTACAAGATTAGAAATTGCACAAGTATCCCTATAAAATTTGACTTCCTTAGAGAAATGCTTGCCCAACACATGAACAGAACAGAATTGCAGAAGATGATTCTAAACCCCAATCCCTGAAAAAAGGCCTGTATTGTTGGTCTAGGTATTAATAAGAATGAAACAAAAAAAGCCCCAACCCATGAAACTCAAATGGAAGAAGAACAAATCTTTTACTGCTGTACGATACAAACAGTGATGTAGTATGATTGAATAGTGACTTTTTCTGATGCACCAGCCACTTCTTCTTTGAAGACAATCCAAAAAATTAGGATTACCTGCCTACCCGTTTGGTCATTTGCCTACTTACCAGTCAACAAGAACCCAACAAGGTGAGAGCACTGAATCTTAAGAGAACAGATGCAGATAGTAGATGCTGGCATCACCTACTCAACAACCAAGAAGATTAAATGAACTACAGAGTGAAAAAGGTGAGAGCTGTGGACTGAGTCTGAGAATAGATGCAGAATGCATAACAATGAAACATGGTTTGGAATTTTAGGTTTAGCTTTCTAGGATTAGATATTTTTTCCTGCAATGGAGTGAATGGACATTTTCATGTCCAATTGGTTATGGAGACTCTCTTAGGGCTGAGGTATAGGCAGCAATTGGAGTACAAAGAGCCTTGCTGAATATCAAGAAGCTGATAATTGAAGGGGATTCAAAAGTGGTGGTGAACTGGTTACAGAATGAAGAGCTGAGCCTATGGTTGTACAGTAATAAAAAGAACAAAAAAATAAATGGTTAACACAGAATTGGGAGGTGAGAGTACAGTGGGTAAAAGAAGTGCACTCCCTTGAGGATTCTCTTGCTAGGCATGGGACGGGTAGAACTAAACTTTTTTGGGCACTGTTGTAATTGATTGTATTTGGGGTGAGATAAGAGGGTTTGTCTCTCACTATTTCCTTCTGATGTACTTCATTTCACTAGGCATGGGACGGGTAAGAGGTTTTGTCTCTCACTATTATTATTCTTATAATAATAATAATATAATAAAACCTGAGGGTGTGAGGAGTATAAAAATCTATGTACAGATGAATCAGAGTGCATCTTTATCGATCAAATAGGCCAGTAACCAAATTCAATTTATTTCTTAAATGGATAAGGTTTGTCTGATCCAATTCTATATATATATATATATGGCATAAATGGATAAGATTCAAATTTGAATCAGATCGAGATCTGATCCATTTGCATCTCTATTATTTTATGATCTTTTTAATCCATGTATACCATTTTTATACTTAATTACAACAAATTTTACATCTAATACACTAGGTGTGTAAGATGATAAAATGAAGTTTGACTTCAAAGTCAATTGGACCACATCAAGTGGCTCTTTAGCCTATATATTGTGGAATATAAACTCAATAATATTTTAAAATAGGTCTTAGAAAACCGAAACAAATCTTGTAGTAGTAAGGGTTCTAAACAAGAGCTCCTTAAAAGAGTTGAAGAAACAAAAGAACATTTAGGGAACAAGGTCTTCAGTTGAGTTTATTTAAATCACATGAATTGTAGAGTGTATTTAATCATCATCATCATTAAAGCCTTATCCTATCTATTTGGCTACATGAATCCTGTTTTGCCATTCAGTTCTGTTTAATACCATATCCATTATTAAATTATGAGCGCTTCAATAATTTTTTACTGTTTTGACCTATGTCAATTTTGGTGTACCCCTAGCTCTTCTAGCCCCTTCAAACTTGTAGCTGATCGCTTCCTCTTACAGGTTCTGTAGGTGGTCTTCTATACACATCACCTACATTCATTTTATCATCTACTGATCTATTCCTGGGTTCCTTCAAATGATTTCATTTCTCACCTTATCATTTGTAGTTTTTCCACTCATCCATCTCAGCATACACATTTCTGCCACTCTTTTTTTTGGACATGTTATTTCTTGATTTCCCAACACTTTGCTCCATACATCATTGCTGTCCTTACAACTGTTTTATAGAACTTTCCTTTTAATCCAAGTGGTATTTGCCTTTCCCATAAGGTGTAAGATTTAATCAATGATTTAAAATTGTTTTTATAAAAGGATTCAGATGTAGATTCAAATGGAAACCTTTGGGATTTGCAATTCAAATTGTGAATCATATATAAATCATAAGACATTGACAAAATTTTAAGTGGCTGCTTTCAAACTTGAACCCATGTTTTCACGCTTTTTAGCCCAAGTATATAATATACTCCCAATGCAATTCATTCCTTCCCTTCCACTCCATACCCTCCCAAAAGGGGAAATTATGCACTGGGGAAGGAAGGGATAGAATCGGGTGGATGGGATTAGATGACACAATTTTGGCAGCAGCCATTTGACATCCATATCAATGATATATGTGCTCTTGTTTTTTATTTATTTTTTCATAATTTCTCGTTCAAGAACCGATAGGTATCAACAGAAACACAGACGGAACTAAGGAAAGAATAAAAGAATTGTACCTTTAGACTTGCAGCCAATTTAAGTAGCAGGTGGAATTCTGGTTGTAATGGCTTGCACCGTGTGTGCGTGTTATGTCTTGGCTTTCACCGTTTGTGTTCTTGAATAATTCTTCTACACATAAATTATCTTTTGCAGATGGGCAACATGAGAGTATCTATCCCCGTGCATAGACCAAATGGGGCCAGCATTCCCTCTACATCAACAGTAAGTTCTTGAACTTCGCTTTTTGATGCCCAACAAATTCATGCAGTATACATCATAAGAGTAATATCTTCGATTTGATTTAGGCAATGCCACATGCCCACAGTCAAACTGTTGTAGTCGAGAACCCAATGTCAGTTGATGAAAGCGGCAAATTGGTAATTCTTCTACTTCCTAACTACTTTTGGCTCAGCTTTTTCTTTAAATTTCCTAGACCAATACAATGTCAAAAATAAGTACTCAAATAAGCCTTATTCCACGATTCCACTCTGTTTTTTGTCATATTCATTGTCAAGTTATGATTCATGATTTTCTTTACCTTTTGGCGACAAAGCAAGTTTGCTGATTAAACTTGTAATGCTGTAGGTGAGCAATGTTGTCGTTGGAGTGACCACCGAAAAAAAATAACTACATTTCCCACGTCTAGCTCCTGCTGTAAGTAGTTAACGAGTTTGATTTATTTGAGTTGTACTGTATAAGAAGCTGGAGCCCTGAGAAACCTATTTCTAAATGTGAGCACTTGCAGAAAACTGAATATTTTGGTAGGATCGTATATGTTGGGAGATTGTAGAAGTAAAAAGGGTGTTGTATCTGCTCTTTTCTGTGGACATTTTATCATTGTATGCTACACGTGTACACTTTGGCTATGAGAAAGTATTAATATTCTTTTCCAAACTTATACCTGTGGGTTATTGTCTTGTGATCGGAGTACTATATGTTTGATTTTCTGTATTTAGAATATTGTTTCAATTGGATTGTTTAACTTAATTGCTTGATAACCCATCATATGGAAGTTTCTCAATTTTTTTTCCTTCTATCTTTTTTCTTGTGGCCTACTCCACTGGCATGACCGTGGGTATATAAGGTATTGCTCTAGTCACTCGGGTTCTTCTATCCAACATGAATTATCTGTCGACAAAAGGTTGTTCAAATATTCTCCCACGCTCTGCCTGGCTAGATGTATTGCTTTAAATATCAAGTTGTCAAGTAGGCTCAGGATAATGCTTGTTACATTCACATTGGTCGCATTCACACCTTGATTTCAAATCAGCCCTATACTCCACATTTTATTGGTTTCCTAAAGTAATATAATATATCGTAAGTTTCAAAACCTTAGGCTCTGTTTGGGAAGAATACAAATACAAATATATACAGTGCAGATACAAGGTTTAAGAATACGAAATAATACAAAATATAAGATTTTGTATTGTACATATTTGTATTTGTATTTGTATTGTACATATAAGATTTTGTATTCTTCCCAAATTGAGCTTTAGGCTGTGTTTGGTTGCAGTGCAAATAAATTTGCACTGATGCAAAATTATGGTAGTGCAAATAATTTGGATGCAAGTTTTGATTTATTTTTGTTACAAAATTTATCTTATTTTGTTTGATTGCAGTACAAATGAAGTAAAATAAAAAAGTGAAACAAAATGAAATAAAATCCAAAACAAAATTAAACTAGAATTTGCATTATTTTCATTTGCATTCTCATACATTTGTACTAATACAAATAGGATTGCACTCCCGCAGATGTTTTGAAAGGAGTACAAACAAGGTTTAAAGTATCGGAAATGCAATTTTAAAAAATGTATCGGGATATGTTTTAGATATGCATGGATACGGACGAATAATCAAGATATGTATAAATATGATAGGAAATTCAAATAAAGCATAAAATTCAAATTTGAATTCAAATAAAGCATAAAAACCATAATTTAATGTTTATATAAAATGTGACATATCAAGATATAATTAATAACTATTGAAAAATGATGGAATAGCTAAAGTGTGAAAAAAGCAAAAAAAAAAAAAAAACTAATACATGAATGTATATACATCAATTTTCAAATAATCAATATAATTTATTTTAATATTTATTAGTAAATAAATTTTAATAAATAGTTTCAGCATTTATTAATAAGCACCACTAAGAAAAGATGAAATTTACTCAAAACTAAAAATGTATATAATTGTAACATACAAATCGGCGTGGCTTAGTGGCAAAGTTATGGGTGTTAAAATTTAGCGACAAAGGTTTAAGTCTTGCTATTGTTAACCTTTGTAGTTTTTATACTAACAAAACGAAATTAATGAAAGAGAGGATCATTAATTAATTGAGTTAATGAGAGAATTTGAATTAGACACTAAAATTCAAATTTGAATTTAAGCTTGTATACGGGCCTACACTATGATATTTTAAACCTTAAGTACAAATATGAATATGTAGAGTGCAAAACTTTGTATTATGTATGGTATTTGTATTGTACATATTTGTATTTGTACTATTTCCAAATTGAGCCTTATATACTTCTAAAATTATATTTGGGATTAGATTACAACCAACTTGCCCAATACCTCATGCTTTTGAAATTGCTTTACACTTTACGTAAACTAAAGGAAAGTGCAGAGTAATTTTCCTTTTTGATAAGGTAAGGAAGCATTTCATTAATAGTAACATTTAGATATAAAGGTTAGAGCCCAAATGCACATCAAATCTTCAAAAACACAAAATTAAAATAATCCATTGGAATATTTGGCAACGAGTCTTGTTTTCAAAAATATGGATGTTTAAGTTCCTCTCTGGCTTTTCCCCATACCATTAAGGATGACAATTTCTATCTTACTCAGTTTTGGGATTCTACAACCCGTACGGTATGAGTAGGGTATGGTATTAGACCCGGCCCTTCCTCGACCCACTTATTGTTGGGAAGCATATAAACTTTATGTATTAGGTTTTGAATTTAATAATATTTTAAATTTTATGTTAAAGATAATTAATAGTTTATGTGTTTTTTATGTCTTAATCAAATAATTGGAAAATTTGTTGTTTGTTTGTGTTATTTTACTTATTTATTGCCTATTTATAACAAAAAATAATGAAAAATTAGATATGTGTTCTAAACCCAACCTGCCCCTACCTCTGAATGTGGGGAGGGTAAGGTTGGGGAGGATTTTGCATTTTCATGTGTAGGGAGTGTTTGGATTCTCAAAATCCAATCTAATATGGGTTTTGAGGAACATATGAACTGGAAGATTTAGGGAGACATATAGGTTTAGAATTTACAAAACCCTCTTTGAACCCGCCCCATTGCCACCCTTGTATACCATCTGCAATGGCATCTTTTTATATCGTTAAGGATAGGTTTCATTAATTTGGAAACATTTTGGAACAATTGTTAACCACCCAAAAAACAAGGGTACTAACCCTACAAATAATCTTAAAATAACAGAACAACTCAAAACAATTTATCTTTGAATGCCCCTTTCTTTGCCAAAGTATTGGGTAGTTCATTAATTGACCTTTTAATCCAATTAAAAAAATAGCCCAACCGCCCTTGCTACAATTGATTTTCCTCACCAGTTGTATATGTGTCAAGACCCTAACCTTTGTGATTGCATCCAACCAATTAGCAGCTTAGAGTTCCTCTCCACCTTAATTTGGTATCGGCCTAATTTCTTAGCCATCCTTAAACCTTGAAGTAAGGCCATTGACATTACCTCCACTCTCAGTGAATCACTCACTCCTATTGGTCCTAAGTACATAGAAATCAACCTTTCCTCTTCGTCTATGAAAACTCATTTCTTATTCCAGATGAGCCTAGGTTGATGCCTATAAAGCTTTCAATCAAACCTCTTAGGCTCCATTTGGTTCGTGAGAATAGGGGTCTGGAATTGGAATTGGAATGGGCTATCCGATTCCAAATGTTTGGTTGGGTGAAATCGGAGTTCCATTCCCATTCCCGCTGGAATGACATTCCTCTATTTGTGGGAATGGTCATTCCCTGCTCCTCCCTTGGGAATGAAATCCCATTCCTGCTGATTTTAATTCCCATTCCCATTCCTGTTTGAACCAAACAAACTATGGGAATGGACCACTCTGATTCCAATTTCGGAGGATTTTGATTCCGATTCCAATTACGAACCAAACAGACCCTTAGTACGTCATCTACTAAGAAATCCTTAAAAATCTCAATCAATTTCATGCAATGAGTAATCTATTCCTCTCTTCCAAAACTCAGCAAAGAATAATTGCTTGTGACTCTCCACATTACTCTATCCCACTTCTTTAGTGCCCAAAGAAGCTTAGGTCAAAGGGGTCCATCACATTTGGAGGAGGGACTCTCCTACAACCAAAGAAAGAAGAGAACCAATTATAGATACAAGACACAAAAGGATTAGAGGTTAATAGGTGTGTGATCGTCTCATATCAAAATCCCTTAGAAGAGAAATAAGTTCATAAACCATCCCCATATCAAAATCCCTTAACCCTCTTTTTAACCTGAAATTCGAGGAATTACCATTATTATAGATAGAAGAAATAACCTTTCCTTTATTAATAGAAAGGGAATAGAAAGGAGGAAATTTATCCTTGTGGAAGGTATCCTCAAACCAACATTCTCCCAAAACCCTACTTTATTACTTACAAAGGCATTGTATCTAAAGAATACTTAAAATAACACTTTGTCTTGCTCTATATACTATCTCCATAATCACTTCTCTAAGAAAGCTAAATTTCTTAATATTATTGCTAATACCTAATCCTCCATTATCCCTATTTCTACAAACAATCTCCGAATTATCTTCATATTACTTGGATCCCAAAGGAAGGCCCTCATTATCTTCTCTAGTTGATTGACTGCTTTTGTAGGGGCTTTGAAGGCAGATAAGAAGTAAACAAGCAAGTTGGCCAATGTTAACTTGATTAAGGTTTCTACCACCTAAGGAGATGTGGTTTCTCTTCCAACCAGAAAGCCTTTTGGTTAATCTTTTCACAACTGAATACTAGAAGCTTTAAGTTTGGGTTCCCCTCCCAAATATAAGACAAATATTGTAACCACCAATTTCCTCTATCACAACCTATTAGTCTAGTAAGGTTACCCACCTCTTTTCTCTTCCCCCTATTTATTACTACCAAACAACTCTTATCATAGTACACTTAGAGATTTGAGATTCTCTCAAAATGGGTAATCTGCCTTTTCAAGTTGACTAGTTCCTTCATTTCCCCTTACAAAACAAAATGACATTTTTTTTATCAGCAAAAAAATTTATTAATAACAGAGAAATATTGAATTACAATAGTTATAGGTTGTAGTAATGCATTAACCCAATCTGCAAACACATACAAACAGTTACAGTTCTGCCTAGTACAAGGTAGATCTATTTGCCCCATGTATTTTTAGGGTATCCGCCAATCCAATTGCAGTCCTTTTGACCTGACCAAATTGAGAGTTGAGCCTCCTTGCAAGTCTATTAATTCTCTGAAGATAAATTTGAGTTTTCAAGGTGCTGATGTGATGTTTTTAGCCTAAGAAATGACTAATAGTGAGTCTCCTATTTCTAAATTTGTTGTTTCAACCTGCTCAACCATCTTTAGACATTGAAGTAGAGCTAGAGATTTAGCCTGTATTGAGTCACCAATACCTATTGGTCTTGAGAAGAGTGCCACAACTTCACCTAGATGATTTCTAATCACACCCCCTATACCTGCCCTTCCTGCATTACCAAAAGAATTCCCATCAAAGTTTAGTTTAGTTTGTTCAGTGCAGGTGGCTTCCATTCCGTTCTCACAATTTCTTTGGGTACACTACTTCATTCCAACTTCTTAGAATCTCATTTGTGGAGAAGTTTTTGAATAGATCCATGGTCATCATCCAATGTGTAGTTGGAGAAATCCACTAACAAGAAACAACTCTTCCTCATGGCTTTCTAAAAAAAAGAAAAAAAAAAGAAAAGAAATTCTTCCTCATTTACTAAGGGAGTATTGGGTGTTTTTGTCCTTGGAATACCCACCTTGAAGAGCTTCTAGAATGATACAAAAATCAAATTTTCATGAAGGTATAATTCTGCTAGCTTATAAAAGATAATAACCAGTAACAAAAAAGAAGAAAAAACTAATAATCAAGTGATACTAATTCCTCACATGTCACAAAACTAGCTTTTACACAATAGTTGAAGTAGCTGAGAAAGATCACCTCATTTCTTATAAATATGGTTTTATTTTTAATCTGAAATATTAAAAATATGGAAAAAATCTATACTGCTGGAAACACATGATATTGGAAGAGCTTTGACTATATAATCAAAACACCCCGCGAATTTTGATAAATGCCACTTAATTGATTACCATTTTTATGATACTAGTTCATTGATTACAGGTTTTTTCTGTGTCATGTCTTTCTGTTATCACAGTCAAACCTTATAAATATAAAAAGTGTAAAGAAAACCCTTTCATATTATAATTTTCTCTAATAAAATCTATCATTACTCTCTCGAACAAGATGATACTTGAATCTCTCTCTCCTCCTATGTAATAATATTCCAATCGAAACCTAACCGATTTTTGTTTTTATTTATTTTTTATTTTATTTTATCCCATGCATGCATTACATGAGTTTTACTTGCCATTGACATTACAATTTAAAAAATGTAATGGCCTAATCATCCTTTTGTGTCATGATCACCTTTTACCAATCAATCGATGCATATCAACTACTTCTCAACTCAACAGCGTAAGCCTTTGGAATCCTCGTTGTTAGGTCTGCCATTGAAATTGCAACCCCATCAATAATGCAGAGAGAAAGAGAGAGAGGTCAATAAAAAGGATCATGTGGACTTTAACTTGGAGTCAAGTCATTGCTGATGCAAAGGTGTCTCTGTCTGAAATGAAAGTAGTAGGTTTCTTCCAGATGGCAAATTTAGCTTGCCTACTCGAACCGAAATCATCGTCATAAATAATTGATACTTGTTCTAAGTTCTAACCAGCTAGAGACGTCACTATACCTAATTCATAATATTCTCAAAGCTGATATACCCACCTCTCTCTCTCTTTCTCTATCTCTATGAACAAAGTTAGCTGAATGGTGGTTTACATTCACTTGTAACGAAGCGAGGAAATTGAAGACCAAAACGTGTTGAAAAATGTTCCCCAACTCCCTATGAGAAACAAGTCATTATAGGAGTGACCATTGTTTTTCGAACCGTCGACCCGGATGGTCAAACCATTACAAAAACTATCTGAATCCAAGCAACCAATTCTGTTTCAATCTTAATCTGTTTCTTGGCCAAAAACTGTTGATTTTGTCAATAATTCGTTGATCCAGGCAGTCGAACAGTTGACCTGTTCAACCCAGATAATAGTTTTGACTGTTTTTTATTTTAATTATTTGTTTTTTATTTTTAAATTCGAATAAGATGTCTATTAAAACCGGATGGTTGAACCGTTAACCCTAAACCGGTGGCTAAAGTGGTTTTTGGTTCCATGTCAGTTTTTAAAACATTGAAAGTGACAATGGACACTGTGGGTAGGTTGGCAAATTGTGGGCATGAACCCGATCCGAATTTAAAATGAATTGATATCTCCCAAACCCATAAATTTTGCGTGGGTCGTCCTGGGTCTATTTCCGACTGCATCAGCAACCGTGTCAGGCCGGGTCTATGTGAGCTAGCCTTAGTTTGGACCAACCCGAACTCACAAAGCATATCGGGTCGGGTCAAGACTTTGCCACCCATTGGCTCATAAAGAAATTACATTATACTTTATATGTTGCTTGTTAGACGACTCAAATAGTAAAACAGGTGATCAACACTTCACCACCATTGTCTTTATAAGCACCAACACTTGCTCCCCACTAGGCAGACCTCTCTGCCTTTCCAATTTCCATCTCCATCTCTCATCTTAATCAATGCCTCTTCATGAAAATGGTGAAAAGCAAGAGTCAGGGTCGAAGCCATCAACGCCCGAAAAGAGACAGTGTTGGGTGGTCTTGGTCTTGAGGGTGCTTGCATTGTGTGCAACGGTCTCGGCCACTGTTGTCATGGCACTTAACAAGGAAACCAAAACCATAGTTCTTGCTACAATCGGAACTACCCCTATCAAGGCCACTCTCAACGCCAAGTTTCAATACACAAAAGCTTTTGTGTAAGCTCCCTTTAACTTCTGTGCTTTGGAAATCATATTAGCTATTATGTTCTTTCTACTGTGTTAGGGCCATTATTTGGTGCAATGGTAAAATCTTGGGTTGGCAAGTGTGAGAACGGGTTCAAGTTCGAGGGAGGTTACTTGTGCAAAAAATGCAGAAGGTTAAGACTGTACCCAGTCCATTCTTTCCAAGATCCCTGATAGCTTCAACAAACATTGGGTAATTAATGATCCTTTTTTGGGTAAATTGCTGAAACCTCGCATGAAGTTTGGTAATTGCAATCACCTCTCATGGACTTTATAACATAATTGCAAGTAGATCCCTTCTTTTAGAATCCTTTAAAAAGAGGCATGAAAATGTCCTACTACTCATGCAGTTACAAAAAGTATTAATTTTCTAAATTTTCACCTCATATGAATGGTGAGTCTAAACTCATCCAATGTCTTTCCTGAAATAGATTTATTTTCAAAATTTGCTCTTTATATCAATCACTCAGAGGTAAAACTGCAATTTTAAATTCTCTTTTTCTTTTATTGTTGACAAACCAGCCTCAGTAGTAATTGTATGGGTATTTTGACATTTTCATACCTTTTATTAGTGGGTTATAATAGAGGGGGTCTAATTGCAACTGTATCAAAAAAATTCAGAGGAGATGATTGCAATTACCAAACTTCAAGAAAGATTTCAGTAATTTAACATTCTTTGGGTTTATAACGTGTTGTCAGATAAAGATCAGACCAGACAGTTAAACTGGTGAATTGGTGACCCACATAGCTTTGTGGGCCGGGTCCCAATTATTTGATGATTCTCATGGGCTGAACGATCAGTGTGGCCGGTGCCGGAAAACCTACACCTAGAGAGGCCCAATCCGAGTCTGACAACACTGTTTCTATGTATAAATCCAGACTTGACCTGCCAAGAAAATTACATAAATCAGTTGGTCTGTGGAACCTGGCCCCTGATGGATCAGGTTATCAACATACCGGTTTAGAATCGAGCTAAAACAAATAGAACCGCAACCCATGCATTATTCTACTGAACCAGCTGCCTAGCTAAGAAACTTTGCCTGACTAGGCAGATTGATCATCATGAGTGTCAAGAAGTTGTAACCGAGGTTATCCCTCATCTGGGTTCGCCTGCCTTACATATTGAGAATTAGGGAGAAAATCTTATCATAACTCTGTTTTAGAATTAGGGTGGGTTTGAAAGGGAGGTCGAATTGGATTTGTCAATTCTACAAATACCCTGATTTCATTATCTGGGCCTTTATTGTGAAATTCACAAAACAAAAAAAAAAAAAGGGAAGAAGAAGAGATTCATTTTGGGGCTATTCATTTCATTTCTACATAATTGATGCAAATCCAATTCCGCTCCCAAAGTCCAAAAGATAACCTTTCCTTGATTCTAATGAGACAGGCAGGCTAGAAAAGAACATATAAAGCTAAAATCTCAAACTGAGAAAGGGTAAAAATGTGGGTTCGAGTCTGAGAGCAGTCATTTTGTGCAAAAATTCCAAAAATTAGAACTATAATCAGTTTATTCCGTCCAAGATCTTGGGTAATTGGGACGAAAATTGGAGACCGAATCAGCCCCCCACAACGTCCCTCAGAACATCCCCTCTATGTATTGCTGGGAATTTCTCCCGATGATAATACGAGAAATGATAATATCATCATCAGGAGATGTTCCCAATATACGGCAGGGATGTACTGTAGGGCATTGTGGGAGGCTGATTTGAACTCCCAAAAATTGAATAATGGCCTATCTCCAAAAACTAATAAGAGTGACTGGGTCAAATCAGTTGAACTGTGACCTAACCCATTGCTTTAATCAAGTCGATCCTTTGGTTGGTGGTTGTAACTAACTTGCAGTTTCTAGGTAGACCCTCGTTGAACCAACCCATTTTCCTACCAACATCATCTAACAAAATATGTTATTGTAATTCAATTTGGGCTCCAATCTCCTGCCAACAAAATATGTTCTAATACCCTACCAACATCATCAATATCTCATATATGACAGGTCCCACTTTATGGTTAGCCCCAGTTTCATAATAAGATCAAGTCGATAGGGTATTGGAACATGTTTTGTTGAGAAGAGATCCTAACTCTCCTAATTCTTTCATTCTTTATATTCTTAAGTTCTGACATCATCACAATCTTCGTCAAATAGCTTAAGACCTAAAAGTCATTAATACTGATAATGTGATGCAGGTTCTTCGTGATAGCCTATGGTATAGGCAGTATCCATAACTTGTTGGTGCTGGTGGCTACTTTGTTTCCTCATAAGTTTGATTTCAAGGGTCTACGGCTTTTACTAATAACCATTACAGACATGGTAATTGAGCTTTCTTTTGTTTTCATTTTTCAATTTTATCATAGTTTATTCTTATATTTTCTGATTAAATAGGAGCTTCTGAGCTTCTTAGGGCTCAAACTCAAATTGGGTTGATTATCTCTGAATATTTTATTCTTTCATTATTTTATTCATTAAAAAGTAGTAATAAGTCATTCAATTCAGTCACTTCAGTCTCTTAAAAGGGATTTGAAATTTAGTCAGGCCCTCTTATTATTTTCACATTGGGTTGGACAATATAGCCAATATAAAAAAAAGGGATTTGAAATTTTGAATAGAGGTATTTGAGCTACTGCCCACAGCTATTAACTACCGTTGGATTGGTCCAATTCACATATTTATATACCCTTGTCTGGTTACTATTTAGGTTCTGTTTATTTGCAGTGTAAATCTGAGCTGAATAGAATTTTTGCATTTGGTTTAGTCTTGTATCTATTTGTGATTATTATTTGTATTTTTATCAGATACAAAATTTGTTTTTTAGTCATATTTACACTTATTGGCAATGCAAATTCTGTATGTCAAAAACTTGTACAAAATTTGCACCACATTCCTACTACCTCAATTTTCTGTTTCAAGGTTTTTAAAATTGAATTGCACAACGAATCGGTTAGGGGTCTGGTTCCTGGGTCGAACGGGTGGCCCGTCTTGACAAGAAAAAATAAAAAAGTTAAAAACCAGCCAAACCGTTGAACAGTTCAAACGGTTCAAACAGTTCAAATGCCCGGGTCAATGGTTTGCTGACCAAATTAACAGTTTTTGGGCAAATAACGGTTCTGGGGTAAAACAGATCCGGTCCGACCGCCCAGTCTGATCCATTTTAAAAACCATGTTCTCTCTTATGAAGTGGATAGGGCTGCAAACGGATCGAATAGGATCAGATATAGGTAGCCTTAAATTAGATTCAATTATTTTCAAATTTGAACCAGTTCTTATCCATTGGATTTATGTTAGATTTGGACTGAATTCAGATTGTAATAAGATATTGAATAGTATAAATAAATTAAACTAAAAAAATGATCAAAATATTTTATAATATTAATCAAATGAATTAAAAATGACATGATATTATATTTTTGAACAAAATTAATTGAAAATTACTTGTATGAAATTAGGACCTTTGAAAATCTAGTAAAAAACAACATTCAAACAACTTTATTAATAGATACATGAGTATATATCTTTATATTGAAAAAAATTGGATCACTCTTAAAGAAATCAAATTTGAATTTGGACAATTAGATGCCACCGGGAATGGAAACGAGTGGGTTTGGGGTGGGGATCATATTTCTTATCCCTGACCTAGGTTTTAAAATAAATCCCCATCCTCGACTCTGATTCTCGTCGAGGACAAAAGGTGTCCTCCATCCCCAATCCCCAAAGAAGACAGGTTCCTATGGGCATGCAAATCTCAGAAAATTTTAATTAATAGTATTTTTTTTGAAAAATAAATTTACTTAAAATAAAAGAAAATTTAAAAATATAAAATATTTTAAATATATTTTGATATATATATAATATAAATAATATCACATATAAGAATATATATTTAATATCAATAATATTTAATAAATAATTAGGGTCGAGGTGGGGACTTCATTCCCCATCCCTAACCCTAACCCCAACCCCAATCAGGGATCCCTATTAATTCCCATCTTTGTCTTCACCCCGCCAAAGCAATCCCCATCCTTTGACTTGATGAGATCGGGGTGGTTGGGTTAGGGGTGGCAAATGGGTGAGTTGGGTGGGTTGGGTAAGGGTTGAATGCAAACCCACCCATATTGACCCACCAACCTACCATGACCCATCATCAATCATTGTTAAAGGGTCATAACCCACCCTAACCCTAATCCACCCCAACCCACCCATATTGACACACTTGACCTGTCCATATTGACCCTTAACCACCCTCACCCATACTAACTCAACTACCCTCACCTATAAATACAAAAATGGGTCTGGATGGCCCGTATAACTGAAATAATAACTTTTGAGAGAATAACCTCTCTCAAGACTACCACATGACAAAAACGAGTTAGGTCAACCAGTATACCCGAAAATGAAAAAATTGTAGATAAATGCAGAAATAGTAGAAAATGCAAAAAATTGTAGAAAATTCAAAACTTTTCTAGAAAAAATCAGAAAATATACAAAAAATACCAGAAAAATACCAAAAAATACAGAAAATGCAGAAAATAGAAAAAAAACTGTAGAAAAGGCAAAGAAATGCATAACTTTTATAGAAGTTTTCGTAAAAGTGCTTTCACAAAAGTACTTTTATAAAAGTACTATAAAATTACTTTCGTAAAAGTGCTTTCATAAAAGTACTTTCGTAAAGTGCTTTCGTAAAAGTGCTTTTATTCTTTCATAAAAGTACTTTTACAAAAGTGCTTTCATCTAAAAGTACTTTTATAAAAGTGCTTTTATGCTTTCATAAAGCTTTTCATAAAAGTACTTTCATAAAAGTGCTTTCATATAAAATTATTTTTGTAAAAGTGCTTTCATAAAAGTACTTTTATAAAAGTGTTTTTGTAAAAGTACTTTCATAAAGTATTTTCATGTAAAAATGCTTTTGTAAAAGTACTTTCATAAAAGTACTTTTATAAAAATGCTTTCACAAATGTGCTTTTTGTGTAAAAGTACTTTTATAAAGCACTTTCGTGTAAAAGTACTTTTGTAAAAGTGCTTTCGTAAAAGCCCTTTTCATAAAATTACTTTATAAAATTGTTTTTGTAGAAGTGCTTTTGTGTAAAATTGCATGTGAACACGAAAGTTAATAAAATCAATTTTATTTCACTATTAATCTCAATGTGAAATGTGTCATGGTGGTTTGGAATTTTGATGCGATATATATGCATTAGGAGGTTTGAGTTCAAATCACTTCAATTGCTCTTTTTTTGAGATTTGGTGGGTATAAATAGAGCTGACTTTGACCCAACCTATCTTGACCCGTGCGACCCAACCCATCCTGACCCTAATGGGTACCTTCGACCCAACCCACCCTGACCCTTTTCCACTAACCCTTATGGGTTACTCAACCCATATTGACCCAATAATAGATTGGGTCAAGATTGCTGGCCCTAGTTGGGTACCCAGCAGAATGGGGGAAAATTGCCATCCCTAGATAACCCTAGAAGTGAAGACCATGTCATCTTGCTTCCTACCTTAATCTCAAACAAATAAAAATAACCCTCTTCCTATCTCCATTGTTTTTTCATATAAGGTGGGGAGAATATCATTGTTCTTTGGTCATTTACTAAAACACCCCTATAGTTTCATGAATTTACTAAAACCTACTCTATAGTTTGTGTTTGACTAAAACATCCCCTATAATTTTCAATTAATTTACTTAATCGACCTTCTATTAGATGAAAATGGGAATGGCAATTTTAATAACATCCATTCAAATAAATTTAATAAAAAGAAACTAAAAATAAAAATACCATTTTTTGCCCCTAGTAAAACTCAGACAGCCACTCTATTTTTCTGTATTTGGTCAATTTTGTTTTTTCTACAAGAATAGTGTAAGGGGTACTTTTGGAATAAACACTGTGGATCCACACCCTTGAACATCTTGTACTCAGTCTAGGTGATCATGTTAATATTTTCACATAGCAAAACAAATAGTTCTTAATAAAAGGTCGATTAAGTAATAGGTTGCAAAGTATAAGGGGTGTATTAGTAAAATAAAAACTATAAGGTAAGTTTAAGTAAATGTGTAAAACTATAGGGAGTGTTTCTACTAAATGACCCTTTTTCTTTCTATTCTACTTTTTATAAAACAAACAAGATAAAATCAAATCTGAAGCAAAAATCAATGAAAATTTACATGATGCCCATTTGCATTCCCATGAATTTACACCAGTGCAAATGCAATTTGTACTGCAAATAAACTGAGCCTAAAAGGTAAAAAAAAAAAAAAAAAAAGTGGGCAAGTAAACAGTGGTGGTCTTCAACACATGGTCTTTGTTGATCAGTTTCTCAACTCAGCTACTGATTTCTGTGAGTAGATGACGGTGGCCCTACTGGCAGCTGCAGCAGGTGCTGCAGCTTCAATGGCGGAGCTGGGGATGAATGGTAATAAACATGCGAGGTGGAGCAAGATCTGCGACAGATTTGATACCTTCTGTGATCATGGAACCGGGGCCCTCATTGCTTCTTTTGTTGCAGTCATTCTCTTGATGATCCTCAATGTGCTCTCTATCATCACTCTTTCCAGAAAGCCTACATTTCAAACAATAGTTCCGTGATCCACCCAATACCACTCTTGTTGATCTTTTGTGTTGATGATTCAAAACATGGAGTTGGTTAAAGAAAGTATAGAATCTGTATTTGTGTTCATTAAGCAAAACCTATTTTGTTGTTATTATTATTTGGAAAAAAACTACTTAAACCGCGAGTGTTTTATGGCAAATGCTTAAAAGTACTCCTCCTAAACTTTGACCTCTGCAAAATCCCCCTTTCATGTTTTAGATAAATATGCAAACACATCTTAATTGTCCTGATGGAAAACATTGATTTTTATGTTTCATTTTTTGCCCATGAAGAACTTTATTGGACTGAAAATTTATGGAAGTACCCCAAGAAGGTGATCCACTTTATTTGAGCTTCATCTTTTACTTCAAGTGAACAACAAAGGTTAAGTTTAAGTTATTGGGGTTGAACTTAAACCTCCCCTACTTAGCAGAAATGTAATATTCAAGTAATCTAAAAGGTGAACAGTTGTGTTGTTGAGTTAACATTTTACACTGTTCCCACTTTTATTCATCTTGATCTTGTAAGAGTCCAAATCCATCTCACAACCCTAAGATTTCGACCTTGAGTTAGACTTTGCTCTTATTGGAAACCACTTGATCCAAAAGAAAAGGATTGACATGATTGATCTATTGTTCAAAGAAGAAGAATCTAGAATTACTATAACCTTGCTATGATCAGTGACCTTATTACTCTCATCATCCATAGTAACAACTTTGCAACTTCCCAACCTTGAATAATTGCATCAGACTACACCTCACCTTTTTACTCACCAACCTCGTCCTTCCCTACACACACGAAATACTCTCAAAGAATGGGGAGTCTTGAGATTCTATGGTCTTGTTAATAGAAGGCAACAGAGTATTAACATTACCAAAATTCAAAGATTGCTCATAGCCTTGCTGGCTTGCCTCATATTGGCTAAAGTTGTGTTCACAATCTCACTACGAGACAATACAAACTTGTCATCAACATCTTCCTCATTATACAACTCGGTAGTGACCAAGGGTGTCACACTACCAATAGAGACAAGATTGTGAAGTTGAACACTGAGATCTTCTATCTTTTCTTTAGTACAACAACACTAAATATAGAAAAGAAATAAACCAAAGTTAATACACCATCAAATTAATAAATTCAACATCAATAGTTCTCGCATCACCTCTTGTATTGTATTCTCTATTGGGTTTTGAAGCATGGAACCTATGAAAAAGGACAATTTATCCTCTCTGGGATTGCATATTGAGACTCTTACTCCATGACCTACAACACATAGAAAGGAAATACATATCCAACCTCATTCAAGAGTACTAAAATGAACAATACATCCATACAAATGAAGTTTCACTACTCTGTCTGTTCAAGGCAACTTTATCCTCACTAAATGGGTACCCTTCACACACCGTCTTACTTTTAAACATAGAATTGACTTATCTACAATCACCTCCTTCCCGTTATTAGAAGTAATAGGGGGTGGGTGCGAAAACAACAATAGAGGCATCATCTTGAAAGTTGATGCCCTTCTCTATTGGCCTTGCTTGTGTTCTTCTTCTCTTGTTTCATTTGGATTCGCTTCCTCTGACCTTGTGACACTTGATATAGAAGAAACCTCACTACATGCCCTAAGGGACTAAGGCTCCTCAATTTCATCGTTAGAAACAATTGATGACTCTCCTAACTTGCTTCTTAAACCTTGTGCAAGGATTCTTGGGTGAGGGCTTCTTTACATCCTTGTCCTTGGCCTTGTCCCTTTTATTCTTGCCCTTATTAGCATGAGGTGCCTGAGTCAACTACTTAATGATTGCTGCCCTAGAGTGACAAACTTTTGCCACTCCTTTATATGAGCTATCCACAATTCCTTGTAATTTTTAGAAACATGACCAACCCGATACCTGCTCACAACTTGAGATGTGAAAGATCCTAGAAAAAGTTTCTTCAGGTTTGGTCTTTGTGGGAAATAAGGAGTAGCATGTCAAGATCAAATTGATGAAAGACAAAAGGAAAATAGTAGAGCAACTCGAACGCAACCACTTCATTGATTGTTTCCTCATAATCAATACCCTCAAAATTGAAACTAATTGAATTACACCCAGGCACAAGACCTCTATACAGGTGTGAAACAAATGCTGAACAATCATCTATTACCTTCAGTAGGGCTTTGACAGTAATGACCCATTCACTTTTTGGAAAGTTATTTACCCGGGTAAATATAATTACCTGGGTAAGTGTTTCCTACCCAGGTAACTGTATTCACCCATGTTCTTATATTTCCCAAGAAGAAAAAGGAAATGACCATTTTAGCCATAAAAATCCATTATTAAAAGGGGCATTTTTGTCCCATTCAAGTGTTGGAAAATTTCCCCCAGGTGGGAAAGTTATTTACTCACCTAAAAGATGGGGTAAGTGATACTTAGGAAAATAAACCTTCCCAGGTCCTCACATTAATCTGAAAATTGAACATTGATTCTTGGTCAATGGGAACCAAAATCCCATTGGCCTACTTTCCCCCTCTCAAAATCCAAAAAAAGAATGCCCCCTAAGTGATTTATTATTTACATAGTTCACCCACCGACGACCCTTGCTATACAACTTCCTGGCCTTTGACCCAGAACTTTATTGAATGAAGATGAAGCTCAGTGGAATAAGCTGGAATTTTGGAAACTACTCACATACACACATAAACATAAAACTAGTGTTTACATAACATGAAGTCGTTCACTTGTAGCCTGAACACTAGAACACCACAAGAAAGGTTTCACTAGAAAAATGAGGCAAGTGGAAAATACTTGCCATAAGCCACTACCACAATAATATGATAAAGGTTTCACACAATACCATTTTCTAGGGCTCCTTGGAAAATGAACTTTGAAAGAATAGCAAAAAAAAAAAAAAACAAAAGAGAATACATTCTCATCCTGGTGGAAATCCTTGGAGTTCCTAATGAAATGCTTCATCCAGCATGTGAATAGCCACTTCCCATGGCAACCAGTCATAGAMAAATCTTCACCCAAATTGTCATCTTCCTCCATAATGTTAGATAGTGTATGCCCTTAGCTCAATCAGATTAATGTACATATACATTTATTGTAAATGAATAAAAGTACATTATTGTTTCATTTCGATATTGGTATGTTTCTATGAAATTACCCCTTAAACTAGACACTTATGAGACTCGTGTTAGTTTATAATGTTCTCAGCCATGGATAGACTTAGGGAGTTTATCCTGCCAAGGTTGACACAAATGTGTTGCCAAAGAAGTTGGGGCAGCTTGCCTTAGCTACTAGGGTTAGACCCAAAGCATATGCAGTGTGTGTTTGGTTAAAACACTAAATTCGGACCATTTTTCAGCCACAATAATATGATAAAGGTTTCACACAATACCATTTTCTAGGGCTCCTTGGAAAATGAACTTTAAAAAAAAACAAAAAAAAAAAAAAAAAACAAAAGAGAATACATTCTCATCCTGGTGGAAATCCTTGGAGTTCCTAATGAAATGCTTCATCCAGCATGTGAATAGCCACTTCCCATGGCAACCAGTCATAGAAAAATCTTCACCCAAATTGTCATCTTCCTCCATAATGTTAGATAGTGTATGCCCTTAGCTCAATCAGATTAATGTACATATACATTTATTGTAAATGAATAAAAGTACATTATTGTTTCATTTCGATATTGGTATGTTTCTATGAAATTACCCCTTAAACTAGACACTTATGAGACTCATGTTAGTTTAAAATGTTCTCAGCCATGGATAGACTTAGGGAGTTTATCCTGCCAAGGTTGATACTAATGTGTTGCCAAAGAAGTTGGGGCAGCTTGCCTTAGCTACTAGGGTTAGACCTAAAGCATATGCAGTGTGTGTTTGGTTAAAACACTAAATTCGGACCATTTTTCAGTTATGCCCTGGACCTTGGAGATTGATGGGCAAAACTGGAAAGTTACACATAACCCCTAGACTTGATTATGGTACTACACTAGGTGTCGGATTGGGTTATCTTTGATATGCCAATCAGTGAGATTCATTGTCGATCAAAACCTGTGTATGTTGGGGCAGTCTGAGAACTCACTTAAGTGGGTGATCATAGTGATAGGATCGGCCCTTTTGTCGGACAAAGTGAATGATAGGGCTTACTCTCTCTCTAATGGAAACCTAAACTGCCGACAGTGGATTTCAACTATGTTTGAGATTTGGTTTTACAAAATATATTTATATATATATATATATATATATATTATGTTTTATGAAAAATGTTTGCAAAATGTTTTAATTCTCGAGATCCATCCGAGTAGAGAGTGTGACACTGCACCTTGCAGCCAGGGGAGAGGTCCTTCCATGTCAAGCGGTGTTTGATCATTATGGGCCAAGAGGTTAAGTGTAAGAGACCACTAAAGTTTGATTACCTAATGGGTTTTATCTTATTTAAGTCCATTACCCTTGGGTCTTCATAGGATGGATGAATTCAATGATCATTTAAGTGTAAATGTTGGGTTCATATTGAGCCCATAGTGATGTGCTCAGGGGTTTATTGCCTTTAGTAGTGAATTCAGCCAAGCCTTTTCACAGAGGCTGGGTTGAACCCATGTGGACTTATGTGAAGTCATTGTGGGGTCCCACACCATACAAATCAGGCGTAAGTTGGCCAAGCAACACCCTTGGGTCGTGAGCTTTATAGTTGATGGGCCTAAGGCCCATAATTAATATGATTAATTAAGCTGCACATGACAATTTAAGTTGTCATGTGACATGGGGCAAATCTAGGTATGGAGCACCTAATCTTATAAGAAGATAAAGTATATCTCTAATTAGAATCCATATCTGATTTAGATCTGGGTTATCTCCTAATTAGATTAGGAGATAACTCCATAAGAGATTACAAAAGAGGAGGGGGCAGACCAATCCAAGATAGCTTCATATTTTGTAGTTTCGGGTCCTCTTTATACCCATTTGTCTCTCAGTTTTTTCCCAGTTCGACCTCAGCTATTTGGGACTAATATAGATCAATTCTTCCTTTGATTTTTGCAAGAAAAATACAGAGGAATTTCGTGCTCACCTCCCCAGTTCGACCCAAGCAGTTGGATTGCAGTTTTGCTGAAAACTATGTTGCTAAACTGGCTTCTGGAGTACACTGTGCCATCTTTAGTGGAGGCTAGTTTTAGGAGTGATTTGGGTGTGAACTTGCACCTTGGGATCTGCATTTGTGGTATCCATATCAGGTATACATCTCCCTCTTTGTTTGCTTTCAAATCTGGTCCGATTCAGTGCAAGACTGATCCTAAAAAATGTAGTTTTTCAAAACATAGGGAATTTGATTCCCATAAAGATTAGGAAATTTTTAGAATTTAGC